AGTGGCAGACTATAAGCATCACGACGTGTAACTGAGTTAAGCTTCCTGCTGTCTACGCAGAAACGCCATTCACCATTCTTCTTCGGAGTGATGAGAACTGGAGATAACCAAGGACTTTCGCATTGTTCAATGACGTTCCATCGCAGCATCTTGTCAACTTCATTAATTAACGCCTTTTGTTTTTCAGGAGACAGTCTGTAACATCTTTGTTTGATTGGGAGAGAATCACCAGTGTCAATCTTGTGGGTGATTAAGTGTGTGCATTCCAGGATACCTTTTTCTTCAAAAGAAATTGTCTTGAAGCGTTGGATGATGTCATTAGCGATGTTCTTTTGATTAGGAGTTAAATGCTCATAAGGTAAAACTTTAGTATCTTTAGTTTCGATAGCAGAACATTTAGATTCTGTAAAGTTAAGAGAAGATAAAACACTAGGTAAAAGATTAAATTTTCTCCAAAAGTCAATACCTAATATTAGCGAAGGAAAAATTTCAGGGAAAACGTAAGCTTTAATTAAATGAGTTTGATTATTGAAATGAATAGGTAAGTCAAAATAACCCAAGGAATTAACTTTTTGATTATTAGCAGTAGAGACAGTAATAAGATCTGACTTGAAAAGTTTGCAGCCCAGTTTAAGAATTTCCAAATGAGAATTATTACCCAGAATAGTTACTGAACTGCCAGAATCTAGTAAACCAGATAAAGTTAAGTTATAAATTTTTACATTAATGAATGGACGATTAAGATCTTGTTCCTTGGAGTAGAGTGTAGAAGAGATTCTGTAACAAGAAAAGAAGTTTTGAATTGTTTTAATCCAATTAGTCCAATCGTCGTTATCAAAGTTTAAGTTACTTTTCAAGTCAGTAGTTAGTTTTTTGAACTAGTATTAGGTTTGGGAGAACAAGTAGGGCAATCTGCAGTTTTAAAACCCTTAAGACCACATTTGAAACAAATCACGAATCGTGGTTGAGTACAAGTGTTCAAAGAATGTCCTTGTTTACGACAGCGAACACAAAAGGAGGTTTGTTGAGGAGTTTTAGTTTGAGAGAGACTATTAACTTGTCTAGAAGGGTATTTGTAGGATGGAGTGAATTTATTCATGAGGGGAGGAGAGGGTCGTGAGTTATTAGAAGAATTTGGAGAGTCAACTGAACTTGAAGTGGAATGCTTGTAGTTGAATTCAGAAATAAGAGGACTTTGTTGTACATTTGGTTCTTTAAATTGTTTGTCTCTGTCTAGGAATTTTTCATAGTTTTGGCAAGTAGCCAGTAGAGAGTCGATAGAGTCAATGTCTTTTAGAGCTACGAAGACTGAATAACATGGGCGAATATTCCTTAAAATAATCTCCAATTGTTCTGTTTCAGAAAGTTTCTTCGAAAGACGAGAAAACATTCCAGACATGATGGAAATATAGATGACAATAGGTTCATCTCGACCTTGAGTTCGATTCCTAATCGCTTCTAAAAGTTTGTGATCATAATCAAAACCACCAAAGTCTTTGATTAATAACGAAGAAAGTTCGTTCCACGTTAAGTTTGGATTCTGATTATATTTAAATCTGAACCAATGAAGAGCATTGTCAGTGAAAATTTCAAACGCTTGTGAAATCAACAAGTCTTTGGACAAGCCACGAGCTATACAGTATTCTTCCAGTTTTTGAAGAAAGGATCTTGGACAGCTTTTACCATTGAAGGTGTGTCTTTTCAGATCTTTGAAGACGTTGGTTGGAGAAAAAGATTGAGGTGGTGGTGGAGGATACGGGGTATGGACCTGAATAGAATTTTGAGAAACAAGAGGGAGTTCCGTGACAGTCGGGTCAACCGTGACAGTCGGGTCAACAGGAGGGTCATTTTCAGTTGGAGCTGGAGTCAAGGATTCAAATTGTTTAGTAATATCGTCATATTTCATCTTCAAAGTATCGAAAATAGCTTTAAAGTCTGGATATAAGTCAGTATCTATTCGTTCCAATCTGTAAAAGATATGATTAATAAAAGTTTCTATTAGTCGCAAGTATTTGGTTTCGCCTTGTAAAAATTTTTTAATTTTACAGTCCAAGTAGGTCAAGGTAGAATTAATTTGAGACAAGTCATCCTCAACCGGAATTGTAGAAGTCAGAATATCTTCAGGGTGAGAATTCGCAACTAAACGCAAAACCTGTTTTTTTAGAAGTAAAACAGTATTAGCTGGTTCCTCACATCTAATCTTCACTTCGTATTCGAGTTCGGCCTTGTTAAGAAATTCGTACTTAATAACCCTTTTCATTGTTATAATTATGTGTAAAGTTAAGTTTAAGAAATAAAAATTTAATTAAAAATTATACCTCTTTAAGTTATCTAGAATAAAAATATTAAAGTGATGGATGTAAGTAAGGTGTTAAATGTAGGTCTAAATATAATCTAGATAAGTTGAAAAACTAGATAAAGTTTTGTTATAGAATAAAAATATTAAAGTGATGAATGTAAGTGTTGTGTGAAATGTAGGTCTAAATATAATCCAGATAAGTTGAAACACTAGATGAAGTGTTGTTTTAGAATTTGGAAGGTATGAAAAGGATGAATAAATGAATGATGAATAATGAGTTAAGAACGAAAGGGAGAGCAATTAAATCAAAAGGGAATGGACAAGGCGCAGTAAAGGTGAAGAATTAAGAGAGAAAGAGGACTTTTACGTTGGGCGCCAAATGTCGTGAAGCGACAATTAAAAAAAAAATAGAACCTAACCTAAGTACAACAAAACAACAAAAGTAGAGCCAGAAAAACAATATATTTAAATTTATAAAAGGTATTTACAATTTTATAAAAAAAATGATGTGAGGATGATGATGGATGAAGTGAGAATACAATTAGATTATAAAAAAAAAATAAAGGTGAGAGAATAGGGGAATAGAGCGTTGAAGTTGGGCCTAAAAGTCGAAGCGACACACGTTGCGTTTGTAGAAGTAGGTTTCTTAGCAGCGACGGCACGCAGCGCCTGAAGCCAGCACACGCCGTTTGCGCTTGTAGAAGTAGGTTTCTTAGCAGCGACGGCGCGCAGCGCCTGGAGCCAGTACACGCAGCGTCCGGAGCCGGCGCACGTAGCGCCTGGAGAAGGGGCGCGCAACGCTTAGAGCCAGCAGTTGCAGCGCCCAAAGGTAGCGCCGGCGGTAGGTGCACTCGGCGCCTGGAGTAAGTAGTAGTAGTGCCCGGAGTAGTGTGGCCCCCGCGCTTGTAGTAGACTCGAAGCGACTTCCGAGGTAGATGGAGGCTTGTAGGATTCCGGAGTGGCGCGGCCCGAGTTTGAAGAAGGCTTCGCCGAAGACTTCACGTGTAAATGGAGGCTTGCAGGATCCCGGGGCAGTGCGGCCCCGGGATAAGGCCTTTAGGAGATACTTCTAATTCGCGAACTGAAGCGAGACTGCCTTTCTTCACCGATTGTTCGGCTTTTATACCTTTCTAGAGAGAACGGAAAAATTATTTAAATTATACGCAAATTTTTTGTAAATGGTCAAGAGAAAAGAGGATTTATGTGGAATTTATCGAAATAGGAATAACAGATCGGTAGCAAATTTGAATATAATTACCATGGAAACGATATAAATAAGAAAGACAAAATATGTCAAATTTTTGTTTTTGGTTTATAATAAGAAAACGGTAAGATTTAAGTGGAAAATGAGATATTATTGATATAGGAAAAAAGGTAGCGCAACTGCCCACACAAAGTCCAAGATTGTATAGTTACGGAAAACTAGCTAAAAGATCGAAAAAAGGTAGACTCCATTGACACCAATTTAAAAGTGCTGATAATGTGAAAATACGAAGTAGAAATGATTTGTTATTGTGTTCTTATGGTTTAAAATCGTTACAGGATCCTATGGAAATAAAGGTGATGTAAAATATCCAGTTTTGAGGTGAATGCAGAAAATCGAAACAGAATGGAAAAATGAATTTAAAATAATGTAAAAAGATACGTAAGTAGTATAACACTACAAATGCAGATGCGTTGTCAGCAGTCAGGACTAAGATTGAATGCCTCGTTTCCAGTAAAAAGGGTCTCCGGTTCTCTACACTGACCATACGAAACACAGCAGCGTTAAGCTGCCATTTTACGCTGGTATTCTGTGCGAGCGTGGTCCTTTCCCGGTCGAGCCGACCCATTCGTGCTACCACTATACCAGTAATATAGCTGCAGCATGGTTCTACTACGTATAAATGAATGTATCTTGACCTATTTTATAATCGTTGATGCGTCTGTTAGTGATCGTGTAACTTGTGAACGACTTGACCCGATTGAGTATTTATAAAAGATATCGTTTTGTCAAACGTTCATATGCTACGAGTATTTACGAATTCTCTATATGAACCATATATATTGAACCATATCACATTAAAAATATAATATATTATTGAGTTAATGCGAGAAAGGAAAATCACAAAGTCTGAACCCGATAGGTGGCGCTATGGTCGAGTTATTGATATATTCTATATTTACACTGTAAAAAGTCCGGAGTGAATTTGTACTGTAAAAAGTGAACCTCTCATGCCTCATATAAATAAAATTGAAGTTTCTGTCTGTAATATCGAAAAGACTAATCTTCGGAATACATTTCGGATTTCACTAGTCTTTGAAATATTTTTATTCGTCAGACAACAGTTTCCTCAAGATATTTATTTCACAGTGTGGTAAATTGGCACACAAATATGCCATATTTGTTATAACCCCTCATTTTAAGGAACTCCCATTGTTGCCTCTCAGTTCGACGCTGACATATTGAGTGACGTTCCGTTTTCAAGTGGAAGGAAAGACCAAATTGGTTTATAAAAACTGGCGTGGTTAGCAGAGCGAGATATTACTAGCCATAAGTTTAGCGTCACATGGAATCCTATTTCTATCTCTGACCATCAGATGAGCTAGTCGCTTGTTTGCTCCCTCTTCTTTTTTTATTTTCAATAAATGGAAAAAAATTGTTATTAGTGAAAAATTATGATTTAACAAGTACTCGGCAGTGAAAGCTAAGAAAGTAGTAATGTTAAAAATATGTGCATTGTGCAATGTGCAATCCGAAAACATACTCTTGGGCAGACACGAACGAGGCGGACATTATGCAGTCTATAAATATAAACTAGTGATATTCGTAAGTCCATTAATGTTAACTTTATTTTTAGAAGAGATATATGTTTCATTAAAAAAGCAAAAGTTACAATAAATCTAAACGCAAACTAAGAAAATTTATTTAATTTCTAGAAAGTTGATCGTCATTGCGGTGACTTACTTTTCTACGCTTGTCTGCGTTTGATAAACGAAGTGATAAAAGCTGTATTTAGTTTTCACTTTTCCATTAAAGGTTATGGGCTACAGTGGTCTTACTTAAATACACATTTTAAAAATAGTCATTTGTGGATTGACGGATTGATTGATATAAAGTTTTCTACAATAGATATAAATAAAAATGCAACGATGAGAACAATTCTGGGTATTAAAATTGGGTGGAGCCCTTCGATGGCCGTTGGTAGCGACTGAAGAGAGATTCCATCTCCACTCTACTCTGTGGGTGCCTATATGAGATGACTATGGGAAATGCCTAGAATTTATTATGGATTAATAGATGGCGGAATAACAAACAAGTTTACGCCAAAAGGTAACAAATACATTGGCAGATATAACGCCAAATACGTAGTGAATCGGGCTACTTTAGTTAAATTATAAAATGAATATTATATTTCAAAGATTTTTCTTTTCGTATCTGGACCGTGTTATGCAGAAATGATCCATATTTAAAAAACATACTTAGTTATTTAGATTTGAAAAGTAAATGTATTTTTCTTGTGGTCTTATTACATGTTATTTATCAGAAAGATTTCATACTATAAATAAACTGAAAAAAAAGGGCTTCTGAATCATTATTTCGCCAGTTTGTGGGTTGAATCAGTTGTCTGCATAAGAAGACGGTTCATTTTATCTTTTTTATGTAGTTTTTTTTTTTTGACGAGTAGTAGGTTTTATTACTAATTATACTGACCATTTTACTGTTTTAAATAAAAAGTAAAAGAGCCAGTATAAGTAAACGAACAATCTGAACTAAAAGCCTTTCATCATAGTCCTCAGATGAGGCGACGTGTCTGCAGCCTTCTTGTATTATTTATTTTTTATAGGAGAGGGGGCAGACGAGTATGCGGCTCACCTAATGGTAAGTGACTACCGCCGCCCAGGAACAACTGTTGATGTAGATGTTTATCTAATACAAAACATTTTAACGTTACTTCATCAACATGAAATAAAACTTAATTAATAGATACATGCGTTACTTGATTAATGTTAACTTTAAATATATATTTGAAATTAGTTTGTGATAAAACGTGAACATATGTTAGATAAACAGTTTAATTGTAAACTTCGTTAATTTTGTACCAACGTCATAATATATTACGTTATTTAATAACAGAACAGCAAGAACGACGTCAGCAGGAAGCACTTCGTAAGCCACAATCGACCCATTTTGCTGCACTCTACAGTGTCGTGTCTCTGGAATGGTTCATTTAACGTTACAAAATACATTAAATACTGAAATAATTTCATCTAGACATAAAAATTGTAAAATGTATTTCATAATTAACACTTATTTTTGAAAATGCAGCAAAATTACGCTGGAAGTGTGCAGTTGTAAAATAATCAACGAAATTTTCACTCGAATGTATTTTAAATATTTACCTATTTTTGTATTACTTACTTTGTTTGTAACATAGTAAATGTCTTTCAAGTATTAATTAACCAACGTGTATCTTCGACTACTCGGATAATTTCTCGTTCCATAACTTTCTCAGAAATGAGAGAAGGCTCGTGCCCAGAAGTGGGTGTATCATATCTAAACGGTTGCGGTTTTTCTCTCTTTTTTCTCAAATTCCACGTCTTCAGACTGTGGTAGGGGAAATGAAAATTAAATAAAAACGTCTTTTTTAATCTACAACCTTTTCAAATTCCAAGTTCCTCTGATCGAAGACAAAGAATCCGGTAGTATGTATGTATCTGTAAGTTTCTATGTTTGTATATGTATGTGTATCTATGCGTTTGTTTGCCAATGCCTTTGTGACCTATTGTAGCCTAAATTACTTCACGGCTTTTGTAGTACAAGGTGTCGTTAGAATCTTCTTCATCTTCACTGTATACGCTCACAAAAAATAAATAATATGGTGCTTGCTTGAAGCGCATTTTGACGAACGTGTCATTTCTCAGTAACCTAACAATAGTTAAATGCAAGTATGTATAAAATAATTGATAAGATTAATAATAATCACATGGTTTTGTACATTTAGCGGGAAATCCTTTTTAACTTTCCCAATAACATATTTGCTAAAAAGTTATATGCATAAAAATAAAAAACGAGTGTAAACAACGTTAAAACCTTTATTACAGCTTTCCAACATTGGGCATTACAGTAGGTCCATTTACACGGGTGTCATGTAAATTCAGTTTGGATAATTTCGACGTGAACGAACCGTTACGTATTTATATGCCTGTATGCTAGCAAATTATTGTACACAAAAAGAATTGCTAACAACACTATAGATCTAAATCAGTACCTACAAATTTACAAAGGCTCAAAAGATATACGTAAACTGAAACATAAGAACACACCACAAAAAATATAATGATTAATACCTATAAAATATAATAAATTCTCATGTTCTTTGTTTTTTTTTTTTTTAAGCAAACGTAACACTCGCAGTAGGATATTCTCCTGATTTATTTGATTCTCTGTATGTAAATTGTAGGCATTTTACGAACAGAGAACTCAAACTCTTTGTCGGAAATACAGCGCCGTAACCTCCTGTGCTACTGAGACATCAAATGCATATGCATGACGACACAACATTTTCCTGAATACACGTAGAAGACAAAACCGTATAGTGGAAAATGTGTTATATTAAAAAAGTACTACTACATTTATACTCATTAATTCATTTCTTCATTAATTATAGTATATCAAAAGACCACTACTGTATATAGGCCGACCGTAGGTATAGGTTGCTTATTATGGGGATATTTGCCATAGTTGTCGCTCTTGTAAAACATGTTGGCAATCGAAGTTTTCTATTAATTTCAGTTGTTATTAAAAAGATGCTTCTCCTCTTCCGATACTCACGGAATGATAGAGGTAGTGGGTTCTTTTATGTCATCACTACACAGCGTATAACGTGAGGTATTATGTATAGATTTTTAAAAGATATTTGCACCCATAACGAATCCAAATGTGTACTTCACACGTAGCATGTACTACCAATTTTCCATTTCCGCACGGCCATAGATTACAAGTGCTATCAAAGTTAGGACAGAGGAGCGGCGGCGTACTCGTAACTCATGGAAATTTAGCAGTTTACTCAAAGTTTTATGGCCTTAGATATCTTATCGACAATTTAAGAAATTTATTGTCATCTAAACAAAAATTTTCACTTTGTAACATTATGAACAGCAATATCTTATGTATTTTTTTTAATTGAAAATATAAATTTATATCGACACGAAGTTGGCAAAGATTATATTAATGAAATGGTTTAGTGATGTTCCCGTGGACAGACCATTTTAACACTAGTGAAGTCTTCAGTCATTGAAGGCATTCCTGGCATTTATTTAAGTTGCCTTTAACGAAAACGTTGAGATGGGATAATAGTCTCTAATGCCAGTATAATACGGTAAGTTAATTGTTACAGTGTGGTAGCGGCGGAAACGTGCTTATTCCGAAACGCAAGACTCTCGTCTACATTTTGAAAATTGAGTAAAGTGTGTATGAGGCTGTTGTGTGGGTAGTCGGATTATTGCCGTTTTCGAGCTTTAGCGAGACCAACCTACATTAATTGATTTTCATTTATGTTATGTATAATAACCATAAGGTGACTGTGTAAGAGAATCACTACATTTCGTCTTGTGGTTGTCGTAAGAGGCGACTTTTGGACGCACTCGATAGATATTGGCATAATCGTCCGCTTACGCCTTGCGTAAAATAACTGAACAAACGACGGATAGCAGCGTCCGCGTGCCGGTAAACCAAATCTATCCCACACCAGTTGTAAGGATTTGGCTGATCGACATCAGCATTGGTGACCTATGTCTTCTTAACTTCTTTTAAACGTTATAAATAATAAAGTGCATCTCTGTAATAGAAGATTGTCTCACACGACAACAATGGACAGCGTCTCACTATTAAATACCATGGGTTTAAAATTTTAACGCGTTTACCGATTTCCTTTAGAGACCTAATGATTTATTATATTTACGCCAATTAAATAATTTTTAATGAATTCGATTTAAAACAATTTTATTCTTATTAATACCAATATACACAAAGTATGTTTAAAAATAAACGGAATTTAAATGCGTTTATTTAAAGTTAAGTTATATTTATTAATGTGACGTTATTCAGAGTGATATAGTAAAAACTATTTCTTTTTAAAAAATTTGGTTTTTGTTTCAAAAAGAAATCTTAGTTGTCGGATAAAATATAGCCTAGATCCCTCCTGGCATTGCTTTCTATCTGTTCGTAAAGTTTCATCACAAGTAGTTTAGCTATTCCGAAGATTAGCGCTGACAGACAGAAGAAAATTTCAAAAATGGTTGTTAATGCCTTAACAGCATGCAAATAACTCCCCGTGCTTTATAAAAGCCATCTATTTTAATATTGCAGACAGACACTTCAATTTTATCGCTAGTTTAAAATAAACGCGATAAGCCCATAAAATAAATTGTTTTTTTTTAATCCTTCAGGGTATTTCAAAGGGTACGATAACATAGACCGAGACTATGTAATTGTTTACGTTAGTCCTCACCTTTATATTTATACGTCTTTAACGATAATGACGGCAAAACCAGCTTTTCTTTTTGCGCAGAGAGTTACGTAACTCTAATTCGTGAAAAAATTAATCTTTGCAAAAATTAAGATCTTAAAGTACAATATATACGTTTAGAGATACTACAACAATTTATAAATGTCAGTTATACTCAATACACAATATGAAAAACAGTTACGATCCCGCTTCTTACAAATAGAGGTTTATTAATAGTCTAGGGTTAACACTATGATTTATGAAAGCTCCTACCTAGCTCCTTATACTACCAATGTATTAGCGAAATTTAAATTTGCTTTTTTCTTTTTTAATAGATTAAGGGTGACAAATGAGCACACTATCCACCAGAAGATAATTGGATCTTCCTACATCTTCAATCAGGAATCAAAATGTGCGTTGTCACCACTGAGGAATAAGATGGAATGCCACAATTCCAGTAATAAGGGCAGTTACTCGCAGACAACAAATAAATATATAAATTATTTTATTGTATTCACTGTTGTTGTTTTTAGTCACGTTCTTAGAATACAACACGTTCCTCTTTCACGTACAAACGACACAACGTGTTTCCGTGAAAACAAAATTGCATTGGTCTCACAGAAATGTCTTCTTTGGACTTTAGCATTTAGGGCGGCACGTACATAGCTATAATACATATTAATATGTTTAAATAGTTTCTGCGAAAATACAACAAGGTACACACGGTAGATATGCAAAAATATATATTTTATTTTTATTTTTCATAGCACCGACTGTCCGTCCTGGCAAGTGCGCGTTTTTGCTACTTATTTGTTAGTTCAAAAAGTTCTAAGTTCTAACTACAAGCCTATTAACGCTGGTGTTCCACAAGGCTGTGTGCTATCACCAACGCTGTTTCTTCTGCATATCAATGATATGTTGCTAACTTGTAACATTCATTGCTATGCGGATGACAGCACTGGTGATGCTCTATACACCGGCCGTGCCAATATTTCTCGGGAAAACGTCGCTGAGTACCGGAACAAACTTGTGTCTGAAGTCGAGTCTTTGCTGAACAAAGTCTCGGATTGGGGGCGACTAAATCTAGTCCAATTTAATCCTCAGAAGTCACAAGTTTGCGCGTTTACCGCTAAAAAGAACCCCTTTGTCGTATCTCCTCAGTTTCAAGGCACTCCCCTTCTTGCCTCAGCCAGTATCGGTATCCTCGGAGTCGACATATCGAGTGACGTGCAGTTTCGTGGTCACTTGGAAGGGAAGGCCAAATTGGCCTCTAAAAAGCTTGGCGTGCTCAGCAGAGCGGGACAGTATTTCATGCCGGCACACCGCCTGCTACTTTATAAGGCGCAAGTTCGGCCTCACATGGAATACTGTTCCCATCTCTCGGCAGGGGCTCCCCAGTGCCAGCTCCTTCCACTTGACCGCATCCAACGCAGAGCGGCTCGAATTGTCGACGACCGAGCCCTTTCCGATCGGCTCGATTCATTGGCACTGCGAAGAGATGTTGCATCCCTTTGCATTTTCTTTCGCATCTACCATGGGGAGTGCTCTGAGGAATTGTTCGGATTAATCCCAGCCGCCAAATTTCACGAACGCACATCGCGGCAGAACTCCCGATACCATCCACACCATCTGGATGATTGGCGGTCCACCACTGTGCGATTTAGAAGATGTTTTCTTCCTCGCACGACCTCCTTGTGGAATCGATTACCATCAGCGATTTTTCCGGACCGATACGACTTAGGGACCTTCA